AGTCGAGCGTTGTAGAAAGGTGATCGTTGTTTACTCTAAGTTGACCTGTCAGGATCTCCCTGTCCCTGTGACGCTTCATGGCCCGCTTCACATTCGATTGCACGTCCAACTTCTTCACTTTCCGTCCCTTCGTGAATCTCCACAATCCTATACCGCAATAAACTATTTATTCTCTGTTAATTTTCTTAACGCGCGTTGAACGTTTTTTTTAACCACGCAATTTATTAAAATATTATTAACCATACATTATTGAAAAATAAAAAAATAAATAAAAAGGTACCACCTACCTACCCAAACAAACTCAGGGGTCTGGGTCGGGTGAGGGCAAACAAAGATGATTTAATTGTGGCCTGACCGGCGTTCTTCCTTCTCGTTTGCAGCTGATGGATGTGAACGACGCTGCGCTGCTGAAGCAATACACGCATAGGCGCCCTCTAGCACGGCGACCTCGCCGAAGCCGCAGCAGGAGGGACTACGTCATCGTCGTCAGATCGGCGCCCCCTGGAATCGTGTGCTCCGGACACGAGCAGCGCCGAGGAGTTTCCGAGCATTGGGCGACTCCCTGGTGGCGTCCCTCTTCACGCGTTTGCCGGGCCGGCCGTCCGCACGCAGCAAGCACTTCTAAGATGGCGGACGGAGCTTCGCTGAGACATCCACGCGCGCGACTAACCTTACTATAGTGGTCGGTACGCACCTGGTGCCGTGCGACGTGTGATTTTTGCGATGTGCGTTTTGTGCTCGCCTGTGGCTTTGTTGACGTTGTCGTCGAGCGGTGAGGTGATTTAATATATTCGGTGGGTGTATTTGCTGATGATGGTCGAAACGGCTTTGGTTTGCGAGGACTAGCTGTAGACAGTTGCTATCTCTACACTGGGGTTGTTAGCAGACCAGTGCTATCTCTAACAGTGGGATGTAGAGACTGTGCGATCTCTAACACTTGGGTTGTAGCAGGACAGTTGCTATCTCTTAACAGTGGGGTGTAGAGACTGTGCTATCTTCTGAAACACTGGGTGTAGAGACACTGTTGCTATCTTTAACGTGGGGTGTAGATGACTAGTGCTCTATCTCTAACACTGGGGTGTAGAGACAGTGCTATCTCTAACACTGGGGTGTAGAGACAGTGCTATCTCTAACACTGGGGTGTAGAGACAGTGCTATCTCTAACAGTGGGGTGTAGAGACAGTGCTATCTCTAACACTGGGGTGTAGAGACAGTGCTATCTCTAACACTGGGGTGTAGAGACAGTGCTATCTCTAACAGTGAGGTGTAGAGACAGTGCTATCTCTAACACTGGGGTGTAGAGACAGTGCTATCTCTAACAGTGAGCAATAGGAAGTGCTATCTCTAATACTACTCTGCTACTGTGTTCACTTGCTGTAGACACTACCATCTCCTACTATATGCTTTAGGGACTATTCTCCCCACCTATGTAAGGTAATCATTACTGTCTCGGTCTTCATGCCGTAGATATGATGATATATGCTGTAAACAGTGGCACATCTTGCTGTACATTGTAGACATTAGTCTCCTACTCTCTGTAGAAACTGCTGTCTACTGCTGTACGCTGCAGATAATACTGTCTACTGGTACACGTAGAGTGAGGTGCGTGGTAAGGGGGGTGCGGGTGGTTCAGCATGCTGGCCACCAGCCACTGCCCGCTGCCCCCTTCACCAGTAGATGTAAACGGTCGCGGGGCGAGTGCGAGTGTGGCGCAGCTTCCGTGGCGCATCTTCCCGCGCGTTCGCGACTCGGCGCGGCGCGGCGCCATCTCGTTCTGCTCGGTCGTAAGTTCGGTGCGTCATAAGTTAGGAGGTTATTCCTGCCCGCCTCACTCAGCGTGCGTGCACTGATGATCCGAGCAGAGTTAGACGGGGCCACGGTTTGCGCTGCGGCGGCGTCGCTCGGTTAATCGGTCTGTCATGAGTTGTGATCGCCGCGAGGTAGCCAGCTCTGCTGTCACGGTGGTGGGAAGGCTGGCGTACTTCCATAGAGTTAACATAGTGATACTCTCTTGTAATCTGCTCCTCTTGTGAGAGAAAATCCCGGACGAGCCCCCAAAATGCGTTGGGTATGTGTGTGTGTGGGGTGGGGTACACAGTGCATGCTGAGGGGGGCGGGCGGGGGTAACCTCTCTCTGCTCTCTCTCTAAGTTCTAACTCTGCTCTCGGGGGTCCTGCCATGCTCCCCACCGGCCTCAACGCAGATGAGAGAGAGAGATCCACCTTTCTAGTGAATCCATGGTGACATCTGCAACCTAATTGGAGGCTTAGCATGTTGCTCACACGGACAGGAGAGCCCTGGTTGCCATGGCGACCACGCGAATGACAGGCATTGGTTGCCATGGTGATCGTATGAATAGGGAAGCCCTGGTCGTCATGGTGATGATCACGTGGGTCAGGAAGACCGTGGTCACCCAGGTGGTCGATCACATGGACAGAGAAGTCCTGGTTGCTAGGGTGGGTGATCACAGGAACAGCGAAACCTTTGTTGCCATGGTGATCACCGACATTTCTGTACTGCTAGAAAATGCTCAATATGGGTAGTTACAGTATGTTGCATGAGTACTTTTTTGTTATATTTGGGTGTTTTGTGGGGGATTTATTGTTTGACGAATTTGACCCATGTATCAGTAATATATATATGGTATCGTAGTCTATATAACACAGGAAGCGTACCGTGGTGGGCTGTCAGGCCAGTGGTGAGCGAGAGGAGATAGTTTTAGATGTTTTCTGCAATTTGTGAATGAAATGTAAATGAAATGAACTTTTAGAGTCATCAGTAGGTTGTCTGTCACTTGATGCACCCTAGCAGCGCCATCTACCGGCGAATCTCGTCTGTATTGGTGCGGCTTCAGGGTTGGATATCTTTCGCGCAAAAACACATGCCACGTCACCGTCTCTCTCTCTATCTCTCGCTTTCCCTCCCTCTCTAACTCTCTGTTGGACTCTCTCGGAACGTCTACGAGGAGAACAGATGTGGGAAAGACGAGGAAAGAGGGAGGTGGGGAGAGTCAGACTGGCCGCTGGAATGTGCACAAGGAGCACAATTTGTTTCCTGTGTAAGGTGGTCGTTCGGTAGCACTGCCGAGTGAATTGCCTTTCAGTTGTTTTGAAGTGTTGACATTTGCACACATGTGGACATATATTTGACATATATGAGGAGGGGTATTATACGTCGAGTTGGTTTGTTTGATGTATTCAACGAGATCATCCCCAATTATTTTTCATAAAATCTTCTGGAATAAAAATGATGATGAAAAAAAAAGTTGTAAAAATTAGTGAAGAAGAGAGCGAAGAAAAAGAAAGGGAAACCCCCATAAATGGAGAAACTAAACTAAGCGTGGAACGAGCGGAAGGCATGTTGCAGTTGCCGTAACCAGTTAACGTACCCAGGTAACCGTGGTAACCATCCGTCCTGGGTAGCGGTACCCAGGTTGCCGTGGTAACCATCCGTCCTGGGTAGCGGTACCCAGGTTGCCGTGGTAACCATCCGTCCTGGGTAGCGGTACCCAGGTTGCCATGGTAACCATCCATCCTGAGTAGCGGTACCCAGGTTGCCGTGGTAACCAGGCATCCTGCGTAGCGGTACCCAGGTACAACGGGCTCCTGATCTGCAATTATTATTGTAAGTGGCTTCTACTGTGGAGATGGTAGCTAGCGTGTCGTGAGATGATGAGAGTGTGTGTGTGTGTGCGTGTGCGTGTGCGTGTGCGTGTACGGTGCGTGTGCGTGTGTGTGCATCCGTACTAGCTACTACCGTGTGCTAGCCGTACGATGTACTAGCTAGATAATCTGTATGTGTTTATGTACATGTATGTGTGCGTGTTGCAGGCGCTGGTACCGGTCGTGATTGACATGTGTGTGTGCATCCGTACTAGCTACTACCGTGTGCTAACCGTACGATGTACTAGCTAGATAATCTGTATGTGTGTGTGTGTGTTGCAGGCGCTCGTACCGGTCGTGATTGACGTCTGCGTGCCGTACGACTTCCATCGTTTCATCATCGGTCAGAAGGGTCAGGAGGTGCGTCGTCTCATGGAAGAGCATGATGTGAACATCGCCGTGCCGCCGGCTAACGAGAAGTGCGAGATCATTAAGGTAAGCACTGCTGTCACCTGTAATTAGTTGCCCGGGAAACCCAGGTGTTGTGACAAGAATAAGTGATATCGAAAGGTCGAGCTGTGTTAGATAAAGGGTAATAGAAAAAGGTGGTATAAAATGGCCGAGGCGCGCTTAGGAAAGTACGTGATTAATGTAAACACTCGTGCGTTTTTAGTTTTGCATTAACACAAACATTGCAAAATATCCCGAATGGCCGCAATCATATTTGGAAATGTTTTAGTAAACAGAAACGCACCGGTGAATTGAAGTACGGTGTTAGTGAAGAGAATTATAGATCAGAAATATAGATTATAGAAAACTTAGGCCAGTCCTATCCTAACTGTTATATATCGGCAATTTATCACGCCTCTTATCTGATCGCAATATGGCGGCAATGACTTTCCAATATGGCTTATTTGTTGTCCGGGAAACCCAGGTTTTGTGACGGGAAACAGAGAGGGGTGATCAAGCCCTTCCGTCGGGGCTGTCAAACACTGTGAACCGGTGGTTAGATTGCATTAGGCTGAGTTTCAAAGATTGTACGTGTCGAAAATTGTGTAGTTGTCTCAGGAATGATACTCAATTAAAAAAAATCATTTATTAAAATATATTGTAAAGAGAATTAATGAGATTAATTGTAATGAGTAATTAAATATATTATTATTTTTTAATAATTTCTTAACCGAGCGTGTGCCCTTTAAATGCTCGTGGTTGCGATGTTGGCATGAGAGGTTGAGGGCGGGAGTACATGCTGCTCTTACTCAACGTTAGGTGACCGGCGCACCAAAGAACGTCGAGTCCGCCAAGATTGGGCTTGCACAGCGTGTGGAGGAGCTGGAGAAGGATAAGGAAGACAGGGTAAGACACTCTCTTCAGTCAACTGAGCCGTGTATATACTTGAACTAAATATAACTTAATGAACTTATAAATGCTGAATACGGGTTTTAATATTCTTTTTAAATCTCGGGCTATTTTGTGTATCATACTGTCACTATTAATTTGCCTGTGGTATTTTTAAGTTGTTTTGCGTGTTCGCATAAGTCGCATGCACATTTCTAGTTGTTCGTGGTTGGCGCAAATATGGTGATCCCAAATTTAACGCAGTTTTGTAACATTGCAGAATTCAATAGAAAAATGTGTAATTCGTATAAAAAAATAAAATGAAAATATTTAAAAAAAACACTGCTTGCCTCTGCCCCCCACAGCTCGCTCGCAGCTTCAAGCTGGAGTGTAAGATTGACCCCAAGTACCATCCGAAGATCATCGGTCGCCGCGGCAACGTCATCAGTAAGATTCGTGAAGCCCACGACGTGCAGATACAGTTTCCCGAGCGTAACCACGAGGACCAGGAGCTGATCATCATCATGGGATACGAAGCGAACGCGAAGGAGGCGAAGGAGGACATTATGAAGATCATACAGGAGCTGGTGAGTGGTGCTGCTGGTGGTGGTTTGGCTGTTATGTAGGTTAAGCAGAGACTCTTCTATCTCTCTGTGCGTCAGAACGCGTCTGCAAGCATCTAATTAAAAAAATTCTGTGGGGGAACTCCATACACCCCGAAAGTGCTATATAGCACTTT